TTGGTATTCTTGTGCTTGTGCCCTTTACGTTAAGGAAATGCCAATTATCCTAACTACTCTTCCCCTAAAATTTAGTTCTTATCAATTCTCTGTTTACTGAATTCTGATTTTGAAATCACTTCTCTTTACTTCAGCATTGTCTTCCTAAAAATTCTGAATTATACATTTAATGACCACTGGTGCTTCACCTTCTACTTTTGCTCTTCCCAAAAGTTCCTCTTTTTTGATTAGAGCCAAACAATGTCTACTATTAACTCACAACTATATAAACATCTTTAAATACTTTGCAAATTACCCTTGTGACTGTCTAATGATTTAAAATTCATTCTGATGTGCAGCATAAATACTGGGTGGCACAACGATAGATTTAATCCAAATAATGTCAATGCAGGAGACTGTGCCTGATTGGTTTGGCCTTGTTCAACCAGAATACAAACCCTGCTACTGTGAATAATACTTTGGGGTCTCTTTGACAGCAAATAAGGATGGAAGCTTTACAGGCATGTATTTTTCCAAACAGTTAATTTTAAAGGTTTAAATATGCTTCTAAGAACAAATTCCTGTACACTGAACTGAAGCAAAGGGAGGGAGACCGCTGCTTACTGAGCGATGCCAGTGAGAGCAGGGCTGGGCTGTATTAAATTCCCAAAGATGTATTTATTTCAATGGGAACTAAACGAGCACTAGAGGGAAGCGTGAATTTCCCTTTGAAAAATCATGTCTGCTTCACAGTCAGTGAAGTAAGAGATATTAAAAGAAAGTCAGCACCATTATTGACCAAACTAACAAGTGCTCCCCAAGTGCTAATAAAATTCTAGACAAGCAACCTATTGATCATTGTCTTAGTTCAAAACACATCAGCCATAATACCGTCACAGATGGGGATCCTATCTCCGTCACTTCTGATGCCATATTTAATGAAAAAATTGGTTGCTTACAAGCTTATAAGAAATTTAATACTATGCTTCTAGCACATGACAGCCATGTGCATCTGTTGGAGGATATAAGCAGCCAAATGTGCTTGAAATGCCTCTGATGGAAGATAGTATATTTCACGTGCAGCATCTCAGCTATTTTTTTTCCTGTTGATTTAGTTAGCATGTTTTAAAATTGTACTGATTTACTGAAGATTTGCAAACATAATTCATGTGCAGTTGTCCTATGAATAAGCCTCTAAAACTAATTCAAATACAGTCAAAAAATAAATTGCAAAATAAGTTATTCAATTGAAATCTGCCATCTGAGGCACAGTAATGGAAAACATTTATTATAAAACTAACATATATTTGTGGCTAGGAATGTGTACAGTACTAAACTCTTTGAAGGAAATTTATTCAGGCTTTTCTGAAAGAACATCTTAACTGGGCTAACAGAAAATTACATGTTCAAAAATAATTGTAGGTTCTATGATTTTCATCCTGCATCACAGGCTTCCCATTATTGTCTTTTTGCTTTTGGAATGCTTATGAATTTCAGGCAAACTTTATTATGCACAGCTGCAGGAGGCTGGAGGGCTTCTGGAATCTGGACTTGCCAGTCAGACACTAAACATACTTAGGTACAATTCTATGCAGGAGGAGAGGAAGCATGAATACCAACACATCCATCTCTAGATATACAGCTCTAAGTTTGACAAATTCACTTCCATGGGGCTGCTGGACTGTGAAAGTTGCAGGTTATGCTATGCTGGAGGCCACAATCCACTCAAAAGCAGTGTTTCCTCTTCAAAAACGAGGGTATTTTGACAGTTCAGCCTTTCATTAGTGCTCAAGGGAAATTCTTTGGAACGATAGAGAGCTCGTAGCCAAGTCTACATGAGTATGTCTGACATCAGAGCCACAGATAGGCAGGTGAAGATTTTCCTATAGCAGAGTGGAAGGGGGATTTTTCTTTTTTTTTCCCCTGACAGATAATGTCCAAAATGTCCCTGAGAAAGAGAGGAAATATCCCTCTCCAGGTTTCTCAGCTAAAGGGGAAAAGAACTGGGAATAAAGACAATGAAATTAAAGAAAAAGTCTGGGAATCAAGGGTGAACGTCCAGCTACTTCTGATGAGGGCCTTCTTTTCCTGAGAAGTCCAGCAGCTTGCAACAGTGGGATTTCTGTCACCAGAGGTGGGCAAAACCATGTAATACTTTAGCCAGTCTCTATATCTCAGTGCAAAAGATAGTGTTTGGAGTAGCTCAGTCCACTGCAATCATCTGAATGTCACAATCAAAACAGAAACAGTGAGACTTGCACTTAATTGTACAAACATATTACAACAATTACAAAGTTTGTGGATAGCTTTAGGCACAGATTTTGGGGAAAAGACTATTAGTTCAACAGAATCATTTTTTTTCCCTTCTTATTGTGTTTTGCTGTTACTAGTAATGGCAGCTCAATGGTCTAAATGTTTTGGATTCAGTGCATCCCATTATTTCCACTGTGCCTGTCTTAGGGGTAATGATGCTTTAAAAAAAAAAAGAAAAAGAAAAAAAGCCATATGGCAAGGAAAATTGACATAATTCCAGCAACTTTACACCTAACTAAATGCACTCTTTACTTGTGCATCTTACCAGAAAAGTTAATAACATTTATCTATTGAAGCATTTTATACAGCTATTGAGAGGTGGCTTTAGGAGAAATGTCTTGCAAGTCAAATATTTGTTTAGCAGTGTTGACATACAACAACACATGAAGTCCGAATGGGTTAATTTTATGGTGAGTCTGGCTAGGTGCATACATTTAATTACCATACAAAAATCTCTGATTTGGGAATATTATGCTAAACTTTTCCCCTAATTCCCTCTTTTCTTTCTTCAAAGTAGGACACTAGGAAAGTATGCCAAGTTAGCTGTCAAGCTGTTTATGATCTTTCAAATGACTTTGTCAAAAAAAAACAAATAAACAAACAAAAACACCCAACCCTTTGATTCATATTTTAAAAATCCTGAGTACCCTGCCCCTTCCATGCTTCTGTTTTCTGGCTTCTGCAACTCTGACAGAATTGAATTCAATATTAATGACTACCAATCATTTCCAGGCTACACGCTCTCCTGCCTTCTGCAGTCCAAACGCCTCGTTAGCTCGGCTCAGTCAGTAAGATGCTCACCTTTCTATTGGTTTCTCTTGGGTTTGAGATGAATAAAAATGTGGGCTAGTAGCAAGGCTAAAAAATAAATTCTGACTACTCAGGTACTCTCTACTTGCAGCTGAAGCATTGAAGTTGACTTCCCTTGGGAAGGTGTGTTATGCAAAGATACCTTGTGCAATTCTCTAGGGGTTGTTTCAGTGAAAGTCATGTGTGCTTTCTTACAAAACAAGGTGTTTTTTTTTCCTTGAGACATAAATGCAGGTATCTCTCTCTGCATTACAAGCAGAAAGAAGACAGCTAGATTACACTGCTGTTGCTTTTAAATGCATAATTAAGGAATTTAATCTGCTGAATAAAGGTAGCTTTTTTCTTTTAGAAAGCATTGGTTTGACCCAGCACACTCTTCTTTAAAAGATGCAAATGAAGTAAAAGTCTAGAAGTAGAACTCTGCTGATTTTCAAAACCTCTGTCTCCAGTTCATTTTTAAAGTTGTTACAGATATACTGAATTCCCTGGCTGCCTTTACGAGATCACTTCTGACAGGTACTAACCACCTACAGCTACTTCTGAACCCTGCCCTCCCAGCAGCTTCATGGTGATTCTGCAGTCTGGCTCCCATATGAAGGCTTCACTATATTTTAAAAAGTGATTTTAGAATCTATAAATATATTTTAAGTGTGAAAATACTGTAGACCTGTCCCAAAGAGAGGGTATTCATATAGGCTAGTGTTAGCCTAGTGAAGCTGTACTCAGATTTCCTGTACAGCCCAGAAGAGATGCAGCCTGCTGTTTTAATTTACCCACTGGAAAAAGAGACATTGTGAAGAGACAGAAGACAGGAATCTTTAGCAGATGTACAAATGTTTGTACCACTTCAAGGTATCCATGTGTGATTTTAGATTCTCTTTTTAGAGTAGGTCAGTTCAAAAATTTTTTTTGCAACATTTTTGCCAGGACTTATCTTTTTTTTTTTTTTTTTTTTTCCCTCCTCTTGGGAAGACAGAGGTTCACATGGCCTCTGAAAGGAGCAGCAAATGTTTTGTTTGAAATCAATAGAATTTGTAATCCTAAATCCCTCTATGCCTTTGAAAATCTCTCTGTGGATATACGCCTTGACCAAAACATCATCTTCCCCTTTCCTTTGACATTGAAGTTCCATTTCCATAATGGCAGAGAATTGATGCTCTTCAGCCTAATATGTACATGTCCCCAGTAATAATTCCTGGGAGCTGCATGCACATCATACGTGCTGGGCAATGAAGTATAGAAAGGCACTTAAAGTGAAAATTTCAAAAGCAACTATGTGTCCACAGAGACACCAAGGGGTATTTCCTTCCTAAACAGTTCAGCAATTTTGAAGATTCAAGTCTCTGGTTGGCAGAGTTGCTCCCTATTCTGGACAAAACAAAATATTTTTTACTTCTTTCTCCTATCCTTTGATGGCTAGCCCGGGAACTGTTGGAATAACTGCCATAATTTAACAACCCACCAAGACAAAGGAAGTGCAAAATGCCTGATGGACTCTGTACTGGAATCAGCAGCATATACACAATGCCCTTTTCTTTTGAAAATCAGCTCTGAAATTCACAACTTAAGAAGTTTTTAAAATGAAAGAAAAAGTATGTGAAGACACCTGTTTTAAATTGCATGTTAGACTGAGATTCAGGGCTACAGAGAACCTTTCTAAGCACATATATTGTCACTGAATATAAATTGGAATGGATGCAGATTAAAAAACACAGCTAAAAAATACAGAGATGAGTCAAACTCTTATACATAAACCACCTCAAGCTGTGACTAAATTGGGAATGAGATGTAAGTACGAATATAGCTCTTCACTAACGCATACGACAGACAGAGCAAGAAAGGGAAAAAGTATATGGAAATTAAAAAAAATACAACCATAAAGTATTCACTAACTTTACCTTGATCGAAAGGCTTGTTTGGATTCCAGTTTCTGAAATAATCATCCTAAATAGGAAAGAAAAAAAAATAAACTCAGGGAAAATATAAGCAATCTTTTTAGTACAATTTTATTTAATTAAACTACAAATGAATCAACTCATCTTTTGATCCTAAATATATTCAGCCCAAATCTGAGAAAACCATCAACAGGTTGTATTCAAAAGACTAGTAAATGCAGGATAGAATTTAAAGAATAAAAAAAAAAAACTTGCATTCAGTACCTCAAATCTGACCTGTTTTTCAAAACACCCTTCATTAAGTATTTCCAGACAACTCTATTATTTCGTATCAGTCTACAACATTCAGTAATAAAGATAATATGACATGATGACAGCATTGTAGAAGGTCAGCAAAGTAAATCCCCAAATATATATATATATATACACACACACACATTTGGACACATGCAAATCACACCATTGTGAATGTTCAGATATACACTAATAATATTAAAAACACTACACAATTTACAATAACATCCAAGGGAACTTGCAGTGAATATTTCTGTCACTTGTTCCTGCTAATAAATTTTATCTTTTTAGGACTACTTAAATCTGATGTAAAGGTATGATCACACAATGAGTTTTATGGTTCTGTTTTATGTAATTCTGATTGTGCTGTAAAACCAAGAAGTAGGAATTGTCGGTGTACTTGGCCAAATGATTATTGTTGCGAATAAGCTTTTTCCATGCTTTCTCCAGTCCTTTCCGTGTCCCTGAATTTGTATTCTATGTATTTAGCAAATATATACCTGTAGGCAAAGTTTCCCCTACTTCAGAGTGCCATCAACCTGTGAAGAACTGGGGTTCAAGAGATTCAGCTTCAGCATATTCTGTATATCTCACTTGTCCTCTGTGAGAGGGAGCGATAACAACTGAATAATGTATTTGAAGTGAGGAATCATGGAAGATTTCTATAACACTGTTATATTTGTCTTCATGTTAATCTTTATTTCCTTTTTAATATATCCAACATTCTATATTCATTTCTTGAGGGCTGCCACTGAAGAGATGTCTTTATCAATTAGAATGACATTTACATTTCTTTTTCCTGCCAGGAGGGTAACTGAAAACCCATCAGTGTGAATAAAACACCTAAATTATTTCTTCCATAGGACTTTGTTTACCATTTATCTCTAGTTAACTGAATTTCACCTGCTCCCATGCTATCCAGTCACTCTAAGCATTACCCCACAGTTGACTGGAGGAAGGCAGGTTGTCTATGCCTGCACTGAGCGCCAGACAATGTGCCTTGTGGCACTGCATTCCTTTGGGATTATTATGGCTGGGGTGAGAAGCAGAAACTACTAACACTGATAGCATGGAGAACTGCGGATGCTCTTCTCTGATCTGGAGGCTGCCAAGGACGGGCAAATGCTGCCTGTAATGAGGGTACTGGTTGCAATTCTGTACGCCTTTCAAAAAGCAAATGTATTTGCTTTCTCCAAGTGTATTCATGCTGACTATGCTGTGTCTACCCTGACTTCATGGACAACGATAGCTTTCCACAGTAACTATAAAGATTATTATTCATAATTTATTTCAGATACATCAGAAGAATCTCTAACTTTTCTCTTTAGAAGTACAGGGTTCGGCACCAGAAATAAAATCACAGACTTGCCTTTGAATTCCACAGCTTTGTTGATACAAAAAACCCACCAACTTCATTGTGATACACTGCTTTGTAATGGATTACAATGTACTGCTAAATTCACCAAGCATTAATCACTTTCTAGAATAAGGTGGTTTATTTATTTATTTATTAGGCTTTTGAGCATTTTTTTTTTTCTGGTAACAAATTATTATTATTATTTTTGCCTGTTTACATTCTAGGTGTTGCTTTGCTGCTGGGTTTTCAGCATCAGAAACTGTTAAATAATTCAAATCCCAAGAAAGATTTCTTATGCAGTTGGCATATGGAACCAATTTCGAAATAAGGATTGGAAAGGGGGTTTATCTCAATTTCAGTGTCAAAGGAGTATTTTACAGAAAATGCACCTTGCTCATAAAAAAAAAAAAAAAAAAAAAAAAACACCTACGAAAACACCCATCTCTTCTGTGACCCTAATTCCTTCCCCTTTTCTCCTCTATGCAGGCATCTACATTGCTTTTTAAAACTGTAGCTACATCTATTTTAGAATTTGCCTAAAACTACAGGATGATAATGCAGGGAAATACACAGAAACATATATAGAAAAAAACAAAACATAACAAACAAAGAAAACAAAAAACCACAAACCTAAAAGACTGGAATGGAGAAAATCTTTGAGATTTTCAACATACAGAACTCATTATTTGTAGGAGTAAATAATGACTATACATACATTAGAGCAATCTGGCTAACAGCAATTGAAAGCAACTTATGCCAGCTAGACAACAGAAAATATGGCAGTAGAGTTTTACTTCACTGTCAATACCAGCAAAACCTGTAGCTGAATAGACATAGAGCTGTAAAGGTGAAATTCATCCTGTAGATACCACTGAGCAGAAAAACCATGTCTCATTTAAATACCACCTAAAGCTCTGACTTGAAAAATGGACAAGTCTTTGCACTAGGATACTGCAAAGATTAACCAGAAATGACTTTTGTTGGGAGGAGAAACTCCTAACATCCCCCAAAGGATAACTTCACTTCGCTGTAACTTCCTCCAACAGAAGAAGTATGTTGATATCACAACATACAGTACCTAAACCTGTATACCATTCAACATAAAAAATAAATAAATACAAGAAGATTGATTAAAGAGGTTTAACATTCACATTCGATAAAATACCACGATGACAGCACAGAAATCTATGTGTTTCTGAATTTTCTCCTCGGAAAGGCATTAATGTGTTTAAAATATCTTGTACCTGCAGTAACCTATTCTATCATTTTAATATTAACATGTTAATAAACCAATATTAACACATGAATAATTAACATTTATTAATACACGTACCATTCATAACAGCATTAATAGTTGATTAGAAATTAAGGTATAATAAGCAATATGATATGCTGTAAATACTTCAATTCACTCTAAGGACATTTACAAGTTAAAAGTGAAAAACCTACCTCAACTTCCTGAATAGGCAAGCATTACAAATGAGAAAAGAAGAAAGAATGAAATTAAGCAATGTAAGGATATGACATTCACTGATTTTATCCTCAGTAGCCTTTAAAATGTGGAATCACTTATTTCAGATGACCTTAGCCTTCAAATGAAATTATTTTCTCTTTCTTTTCTGACCTTTGCACCTTGGCTGTCATGGCCCAGTTTCCAGCTGCTGTGCTATTAGCCAAATGCCATGCTATTAGTATGTTTGCCTCTCATAAAGTACCAAAAAAGACACTTTCATTTCCTTTTGGCTGACAAAAGCACCAGAAAGTATTTTTGCACATATTTATCTGTTACATACCTGATATGTGAGAGAATTAAAAATGTCTTTTTTCCCCTAAGTGACTTTAAAGACTATTTGTTTGATGGATTTGGGAGGGGAGGCAAAACCCGGCATGGATCCATTTCAGTACCAGAAACAGCAACTGAAAAATATTTTTATGAACAAATATTTGAAAGTATCTTTCTCCTTGTATAGAGTTCACACTTCAAGGGTTTTGCCTATGGCTCAGTGACCGTATATGACTAGATCAATCCTTTAATTAACTCAGGGGACTCGGCACACCTAAATTCATGCATGAAAAAAGGAGAATTGATACTGCAAACCAAGCCTGGATCTGACTGCCTTAGCTCAACCCAGCACTGTACAAAAGTGACACGTTGGCATGACCTCTGTACACACCCAGGAATACATGTGAACCCCAAACTCTAGAAGTTGCCCATCCCTCCCACACAGCACAAACGTACTGAAGAGTACCAAAGCTCTACTCCAGGTCCCTGACAGCCCCAGTCTCATCTGACAGATAATGCTCAGCTTCCACTGACAGGAAAAGAAATTTGGCATAGCCTTGCCTTCTGTTCCCACTGGGTGCTGGATGAGGCCTTCGGCAACAAGCCTTGTAAAAGTCTACTGGCTACTAGGGCAGACATCAACCCAAGATGGAGAGGCAGGTAACCCGAGATGGTCACTCACAAGGTGAATAGCTCACAGGCTGTTGGCCAACTTTTGGCATCTCCTGACCTGATTTCAATTGCAAGGCTTGTGACAGGAACCGTCTTTTCAGCTCTGAATCTAATAATCAACTAGCGCTATGGACTCTTATGTCAAGCAGTGACCCTCAAAAAATTTAACTGAGAAATAAGTTATCGTAGCAAATGAAAAATGTGTAGAAAAATATACATTGATAGACTTGGACCTCACTTCTTTATTACATTTTTACTGTTTTGATTTGCGCAATCCAGAGATGAGATAAAATAAATTCTGAAGTGATTTAAAACCATTTAATTGCACCAGACATGATAAATGGTTTCCTAAACAGAGGAAAATATTATTTTATCATCCAATGCATAGGCGTCAAATCCAACCAACTTAGATTAATATGCCATCAACAAAATCAATCAAGAGAATAATCATATGTTAAACTAAGCATGCAAAGGGCATATTAAGAAGTCCTAGTTTAAAAGCTCACAAAAGCTTTCTTGGCCTCAGGCCTCACTGCTTTATACAATATCCCACAGATGTCATCAGAAGTTTATGCACACATCATCTACCTAGGTGCAATGTAAAAATTGACTAAAAAAAAAAAATCAAAAACCTCATAGACTGGGTTCTGATTTCCAAAAACCAAAACTTGAAGCGGATACAACATGTGATAGTGTCCTATCACTCATAGCAGAAAAGTTAGCAAATAACAGTTGACCCCAAGACCAGTAGAGTAATGACATGCTTCCTATTACCTTCCATTTCAGTCCAATAACAGTAGTAAAAAACAAAACAAACCCAACACATCTGAAATTAATGTAAAAACATGAATATGTTTATAGACAATCACCTACCCCCTACCCCCACCACCGAAAAGAAAAAAAAAAAAAAGTAAACAGCTTCTGGTTCTCCTGGAGATTAAGTATTTTAAGTATAAATCCTATAAAAGCTACTTCATTGTCAATTCAGTTATTACCTAATACTTTTGGAAGAGTTAATAAAGCATGGTTAATTTAACACAGGCACTCCATACGTAATTTATTCACTTGCCTAAAAGAACCCCTTGCAATATGCTCTTGTTTATAAATAGAAGTGAACATTAGCTAAATGCGTGCATAAATATTTATATTTTACTGCTTTAATTGAACTTATAAGTTATTTGTAGGAATCAAGCAGAAAAGAGATGATAGCTGAAAAACCTCCCCAGAACCCCTCTCATCGGCATCTCCCAGAGCCAGCTCACTTCAGTTTCCTCCCCCAAGGTTTGGGCAGATTGCAGGGACTTGGTGGCAGCATCCACAGCCACCATGAAACCCCCACTGCCTGAGAAAAACGATATACAAAGGGCATAACCCCAAGGACTACCAGATAACCTTTTGGATGTAATCTTTGTTCCCAGCTCCTCCCAGCCAACAAGAGCATAAATTTCTAAACATCTCCAGGAGGGACGTTCATTAACACCGGTTTGCAGCCTGCTTAGTATTTTCCTCTTCCATCCTCCATCTATGATTAAACCTTTTACCCTCATAAAGACCAGCTGGGAAAAGTGGTAATTACCAGCTCATTGCTTTTTTAAAATTAGCTCCAGAAAGATGCAGCTGCATTTTCTGCCTCTCTACCTTGCAGTACAGAGATCATTCCAACATCGAGCAGTGTGAAAGCACCAGCTGCTGCTTGCTGAAGTCAATCTAGCCAGTGTCATAAACATCTCCCCAAGGCCTAGGGCCAGTTTTAAGCAAATAGCTTGTGTCAGCAAATTACGTATTATTTATTTATTTATTTAAGAGGAAGAGAAAATATTTTACCCACCGAGTATATCAGTGCATACAGATTTCCCAATGGTAGCTAGTGCCCAGAGTCTGCATCAGTTTCAGGTGCTGGCTTCAAGATCCTAAGCAGAATAAGACATCTCCATCTGCCTCTGAGCTCTTTCTTTGTCTCTCTCATGGGAACCAGAGAATATGCATCCAGGAAGGATGCTTTTACTTAGTGAATTAGTAGTGGCTTGTGCTCTGGATATTTCATTTTGACTTGTTAGGGAAAATCTTTGTAAAGTTTCGTGATAAATTTCCCAGAAAGGCCAGGGTTTACTTTGGTGAAATTGAAAGAAATCATTTCAGACTGAAGTAGTACCATGTGTCATGAAAGGTCTAAGGATGTCAGAACCTGTCTAGAATACTGTAGCTAAGTCATTTATAAAAATATAATGCAATGCTTTAGCCTAGAAAAAAAAAACAAGGTTGGTTTAAAGGGTTCACATTGGACTCATGCATAATACTAAATAAATTAATATTGATTTATTAATAAGAATATGAAATACACATCAAAATAAATCCTTAGATATAGATTTTATAGAAAAGGTCATAGACCATGTATTGCAATCTCGCATGTTTCATTCTCAGCACATGTATTTTTTGTTGACCTACCACTAATGTGCAAAAGAATTCCTTCTACTTAGTACAGCCTGGGACATTAAATTTTTCTTATTTTCATATAACTATTTTTTGCCCCCTTTTTATAAAAGAAAAAACTGTATCAGGAAACAAGATTTGCCACTCCTGCTTTACTGGAAGACATTTCCAGAAGTTTCCATAGGCAATATTAAGAAAGTGGCATACAGAACTTTCAGCACAATCTTTCTTTAGTCACAGTCCCAATGTTTCATTGGGGTGGCCATAAATAAATATATAAAATCAGAAATTAAATTATAAAAAATGAAAATAATTGAAAAATAGGTTACCACTGAGCCTATGTCAGCCTGAATAATAATTCTCATTCTTTAGAACTCAACCATGGGGCCTTTTATGTAGAAATCTTCCAGCTGCTCTGCTGCTTCTTTCCTTCTTTCTTTCTTTTTTAAAGGACAAATATAGTAAGAACTAAAAATAATTCTTTTTGAACAAAAACTCTGTGTTTATCCATACGAATGAAGCCAAAGGGCATGTCTACAACGAGGAGGGCAAACAGATGCTCATCTACTCTGCTTGTGCTTCAAGCAGGATGAATGAGGGCCAGCTGTGAGCCAGAAGCCATATAGCTGCCTTAGCGCAGCACTGTGCCAGCACACACAGCTGATAGATTTGGGTGGCTGGAATAATCACACCACTGTCTGCTCTAGCTAGTGCTGAAATACCTAAAACTGAAAAGAAAAAAGCCTTATCTTGGCCTGATTATTCTTTGATGGTCCTCTTAAACTTCAGAAATACACTATTGCTTCTGCTTGAACTCTTCCACTTGTTAGCTGGTGCTAAAAAGCCTCTTTTCCATGTCTAAGGTTAAATAATTCTTACCAACTTTCCTTTCATCAAGCTTTCCACACCTTAGCATGTCCCACTATACTGTTTTATTCCTCAAGCTGTCAAGTTCTTACAAGGCCAGAACCTCAGGAGTCTCCCAAGGTAAGGGCTGGCAGATCCCTGTTGGGTTGGTTGTGCTGCACTTCCCAGAGATGCAGCTCCAAGGCCAGACTGAAAAACAGACCACTGGCTGGCTCCTTATCTTGCAATTTAACAAGATACTCCTAGCCACAGGGCCTTAGCCACAAGGAACCATCTCAGAGACACTGCAGAGCACGGTTCATGGCATTTTTCTCCAGCCATAAGTTCCTTTCCCTGACCTTTGTGAAGGGTCTCTGTTCTGGCTGCTTGCAGAGGCAGCACAGGGAGGGAGGAATTAGGGCTGGAGGAAAGACAGGCACCGGAATACTTCTAACGAGGCCTGAGGATAAGAAGTCGTGTAGTGATGATTTACCATCTCAACTGAAACAATTTCCTCAGGCAATCAGATCCTGTGGCAATCTGTAGGCAAGCTCAATAGGTATTGACCCCTAAATAAATTAGTAAGGCCCTATTCTCTCCAACATTTGGTCACAGAAACTGGAGGGTTTCTGATTTCTTTGGTTACTCTCTGATTATACCCTGATGCCTGCAGCATGTTTATGCAAATCTCTGCTTAACTGTAATTCCTCACAACAAAGCGTCTCTC